CTCGCGGGGCGGGGCGCCCTATATCAAAAAACTCCCCAAAAAAAAAAAAAACTTTATGAGAGAGAGAAACAAAGACAGATTTTTTTTTTTTTTTTTTTGGAGAGGTTTCTGCTATAGGGCTCATGTGCTCGCTAGAAAGACCGAGAGAGACAGAAAATGAGAAATCACCCCCGGGGGGATGGCCACGCTGCAATCCCTTCTCCTCCATTCTCCTCTCAGGATCTTGGTCACTCATACACGTGTTCCGTGCAAGTTTAAGCCACCAGGTCCACTTGGGACACGGCTGACTACGTGGGAGTCCAGCACCATAGCCATTACACTAACTGCTGGTTCCACATATTTTTATTTTAAGAGTTTTTTGCTTTAGGACATGTTTGCTCTGGGGAGAAAAAGAGACAGAGACAGTGAGAGGGAAAGTGGGAAATCAAACCCTCAGAGGGGATAGCCACACTGCAATCCCTTCTCCTCCTGGGATCTTGGGCATGCCCGCACTTGCACCCAGTGTGATTTTCTTTTTTTTTTTGGAGAGATTTTTGCTATAGGGTGCGTGCGCTCGCCAGACAGACAGAGAGAGACAGAGAGATAGAAAGCGAGAAATCACCCCCCAGGGATGGCCACACCGCAATCCCTTCTCCTCCATTCTCCTCTGGGGATCTTGGGCACGCACGCACACGTGCCCGGCATGAGTTTTAAGCCTCCGGGTCCGGGACGCGAACCGCGGTCGACTACGTGGGAGTCCAACAACATAGCCATTACGCTAACTGCTGGTCCCAACCAGGTGTGATTTTCAAGGCACCAGGTCTGGGAGTTGAACCGGGGTCAGTCATCTGAGAGTCTAGTGATGTAATTGTCAGCTGCTGGCCCTAAGAAACAGATAGTTTTGACAGTCTCGCGGCCTTCCTCCCAGTCAGCACGCGCAGCTGCGCCTGGCCTTTCAGGTTGGCCCAGGAACTAGTGCTGGTCGGCCATGTGGCCTCCAGGCTCCCATGTGTTGGTGCCACGTGTGAGTCCCCACAGCCGAGCCCTGGAATACTCTCTGCAGTTGAGTGAACACAGTTGAAGTATTAGATTTAGACACTGCACATAACACATAATTTCCGTGATCCCTCTCATATAAGGCCCAGGGAAAGCCAGCTGAGGGTGCGGGAGAATCGTGTCCCCGTGTCGCTCTCCCTCAGGCACGTCTGTGCAATGACAGGCAGAGCACGTCATTGTGATTAGTGTGTGGGAAGAATTCACATATAACAATACACACAATGTAAATGTGCCATTCAGGGCCAACAGTGGTGTGGTGATTAAGGCACTAGATCCCCATGAGCATGGGGCTTAAATCCCAGACCCGGCAGCTTGAAAATCACAGCCGGTGCACGTCCATGTTCAAAATCCCCAGAGGAGAATGGAGGGGACGGCAAAATCTCTTGGGATTTGGGGGATGCATATACATGTGCCTGGCATGTTTTTCTTTTTTTTTTCCCCAGAATTATTTATTTAATTTTATTTATTATTACTTTAATTTGATGAGAGAGAGAGAGAGAAAGTGAGAAAGCAAGCTACCAGGTCTTGGACGCTAACTGTGGTCGGCCATGTGGGAGTCCATGCCTTAACCACCACACCACCTGCAGGCTCATCCCGGCATTTTTGTTCGTTCGTTTATTGTTTATACATTCAATCACTATACATCATTTAGATTGGAGAGATATTTTACCCAACATGATGTACGCCACACGACAGGCGAGTTGAGAATACTATACACGACATTACCAACAAGCACCGAACCATATCTGTGTCCCACAAATGTCTTACTTCTCCCTAGTTCCCCAAGTGTCCCTTCCTGCACTCTTCCCCTGTCCCACCCTCCTTCCACTTTGTCCCCAGTGTCCGTAACACTTTTCAATGCTTGTATGTCCTCCAGTCTTTCAGTCTCTACCATAGAGTGCAGACAGTCGGTATATGTCAAGTGGAGACATCCAGTGTTTCTCTTTCATAGCCTAACTTGCTTCACTCAGCAATACATCTTCCATGTTCGTCCACTTTCTATCAAATGCCAGGGTCTTGTTTTTGTTTTTTTTTTTTTTAATGGCTGAATAGTATTCTGTGAAGTATATGTGCCACAGTTTTTCAATCCATTAATCTGTTTGTGGACAGTTGGGTTGGTTCCAGCATGCTTTTTTTAAAAATTTTTTTGAAGAGGTTTTTGCAAAAGGGCGTGTGCGCTCGCCAGACAGACAGAGAGAGGCAGAGAGACAGAAAGCGAGGAATCACCCCCCAGGGGGCATGGCCATGCCGCAATCCCTTCTCCTCCGTTCTCCTTTCGGGATCTTGGGCACACACGCACATGTGCCCGGTGTGAATTTTAAGCCACGCCACGGGGTCTGGGACACGAACCGCGGTCGACTACATGGGAGTCCAGCGACATAGCCATTACGTAACTGCTGGTCCCTGCAGCATGTTTTTTAAGCCTCCAGGTCCAGGGTCCGCCACACGGCCGGCCATGTGAAAGTCCAGTGCCTCAACCACCATGGCACCTGTTGGCCTGTGACCTCCTGAGTGGTTTTAGAAGCACCTCCAAGTCATTTAAATTCACATCCCCCCTATCGTGAATGAATTTGACCATCTTCTCACAAATGGAAGAGCCATAGTCTTTCCCTGTTAGTGAACTGTATTTCTAAACTGATTTTTCTATCAGGTTGGTTTTTTTTGTTTGTTTGTTTGTTTTTTTTAAGAGAGATTTTTGCTATAGG